TTCCTCATTCTTAACTTGCTTGATGAGAGAAGAGTGAGCCTTTTCAAGCTTAGAGTGAGTTTTGCCAAGCTTCTCATGGGCTTCTAATTGCCTCTCATTAGTGGCTTTTAGCTCATCAATGAATTACTCAAGAAATTTGACTTTCTTGTTCAATTCTTTGCACTCCTTTCTCTTCATCTCAAAGCAAGTGTGCACTTGCTCACACATGTCCATGAGCTCCTCCTTGGTGTATTCATCATCATCATCACTCCTACAAGCATCACTTTCACATTCATCATCATCACTCACATCATATTTTACCTTGGTAGGCTTTGCCATGAGACATGTCGATGGAGTGTCGAAGATGGAGGGCTTATTGTTGATGGCGATGCTTGCTAGTGCTTTCTTGATAGATTTCTTGCCATCATCACTAGAGTCATCACGATCCGAAGAGCCATCACTATCCTAAGTGACCACGTATCCTCCACCCTTCTTCTTCTTTTGGAAGGTCATCCTCTTCTCCTTCTTCTCCTTCTTTTCCTTCTTGTCCTTCTTGTGCTTCTTCTTCTCATCATTATCATTGTTACTATTATAGGGACAATCTGCTACAACGTGGTTAGGGCTCTTGCAATTGTAGCATCTTCTCATATATTCTTTGCTTTTGGTGTGATCTCTTCTCTTTCTTGCACTATAGCTCTTCTTCTTCATGAATTTGCCCATCTTGCGCACAAATAGAGTCATGGCTTCATCATCAATGTCACTAAGATCCTTATCATCACTTAATTCTTTCTTGGACTTGCCCTTGTTCTTGGATGATGAGCTAGTCTTGAATGCTATACTCTTTTTCTTCTTGTCTTCGTCTTCCTTCTTGTCATCCTTGTCAACCCCTTCCCTTTCCACACGGTATGTCTCTTGTGTCATGATATCACATAGTACTTGGTTAGGGGTAACCTTCTTCAAATTGCCTCTTATGATAAGCAATCTTAATATCTCAAATCTTGGAGGTAGACACATCAAGAACCGATGAGAGACATCATCATTTATCTTTTCTCCCAATGCCTTCAAATTATTGACAATTACTTGCAATTGATGGAACATCTCTGAAATGCTCTCATCATCCTTCATCTTGAAGCTTGTCAACTTGTCCTTGAGAATATACAACTTGGCACTCTTCATCGCCGGTGTGCCCTCATATGTTTTATTCAATCTCTTCCACACCTCATTAGCTCTATCACAATCCTTGATTTGCTCAAACACCTTGGAATCAATGGTATTGTATATGGTGTTGAGAGCCATTGTATTGTATTGCTTGTTGGCCTTGTCTTGGTTGGTGAGATTGTCGGGATCAATGATAGCATAGTCATTCTCGGTCACATCCCATACTTGATCATTGATTGAACCAAGATACATCCACATCTTTCTTTTCCAATAACCATAGCTTGTGCCATCAAAGAATGGTGGTTTGCCCCCCACATGGTTGAACACAACTTGAGCCATAATTTGACACCGAGGTTGTTAAGCCTTCAATTAAACGGTGACCACGGCTCCGATACCACTTGAAAAGTCCTAATATGGCTAGAGGGGGGTGAATAGCCTATTTAAAAATCTACAAACCAACTAGAGCAATTTTATTAGTATAACAAATAACATAATGCAAACTTGCTCTAGCTCTACAAGGGTTGCAAGCCACCTATCTAACAATTCTAGTTACTACGATCACTAGATACTCAATTTGCTAAGTCACTACTCACTAAGAGCTCTCATATTTGCTACACTAAAGAGCTCCACTAGATGAACAAAAAACAACAAAGCAAGCTCTCAATTCTAACTACACTAAAGAGCTTGCTACAACTAGTTTGCATGAATATAAATGAGTGAGTAGGGTGATTATACCGTCGTATAGAGGAGTGAACCAATCATAAGATAAACACTAAATCAATCACCGGGAGAATACCAAAGGGCAAGAGACAACCAATTTTTCTTCCACGGTTCACGTGCTTGCCGGCACGCTAGTCCCCGTTGTGTCGACCAACACTTGGTGGTTCAGGGCTAAGAGGTGTTGCACGAACCTCGTCTACATAATTGGACACCGCAAGAACCTACCCACAAGTGAGGTAACTCAATGACACGAGCAATCTACTAGAGTTACCTTTCGGTGCTCCACCGAGGAAGGCACAAAACCCTCACCATCACAGCGATTGAATCCAGAGACAGTCACCAACCTCCGCTCAACGATCCTTGATGCTCCAAGATGTCTAGTTGGCGGCAACCACCAAGAGAAACACGTGAATCCCGCAGCGAAACACAAATATCAAGTGTCTCTAGATGCAATCACTCAAGCAATGCACTTGGATTCTCTCCCAATCTCACAAAGATGTTGAATCAATGATGGAGATGAGTGGGAGGGCTTTGGCTAAGGCCATCATCGACAATAGCGGCTTTAGCTCAGGCGATGGGAGCTCACGGTGTGGGGCGAGGCGAGGCCTCCGCAGCCATGGCCAGCTTTTATAGCCAAGGGGCGACCGGGTTCACCGGAGATATTTGTCGGCAATGGGGCAGGGCATAGCTCGATGACAACTGTGGTCCTCATCCATCGGTGTACGACGTCAACGGTGGGAGGCGGTTGGTCGGCGGTCGTGGCGCCCCAGCAGACCCGCCTGCTCGAGTGCGCCCCCCGGCTTTAGCTCAGGCGATGGGAGCTCACGGCGTGGGGTGAGGCGAGGCCTCCGCAGCCATGGCCAGCTTTTATAGCCAAGGGGCGACCGGGTTCGCCGGAGATATTTGCCGGCAATGGGGCAGGGCATAGCTCGGCGACAACTGTGGTCCTCATCCGTCGGTGTACGACGTCAACGGTGGGAGGCGGTTGGTCGGCGGCCGTGGTGCCCCGGCAGCCCCGCCTGCTCGAGTGCGCCCCCACGGCCCCACTATGGACAGGAAACAGAAAAAAAGAGAAAGGGAGAGAGGAAGAAGAAAGCGGTAGGGGCAAGAATATTATTTCACCGTTGTTCTCTCTCCTCAACCGGCTGCAACCGGTCCGTGGTGTCCTGTGGCCTAATTTCATCGAACTAGAGTGTTTTCTGGCAAAATGTTCCAAAGTGGGTGTCCGCCAGCAAAGAATCATCACTTTGGATGTCCAACAGTCAATTGTCCCTTAACATTTTTATTGATTATTTTAGGTTGCAATACTTCATCTATTCATTCCATCACATGCATTATCACGTAAACATGATACTTATGACATGGTTTAATAATTTGTTTAGAGCGTAACACCAAGGATGTTACGCTAATAAGGAAAAGGGAAATAGAAAAAAAGGGAATTAGGAAAGGACTGAGAAGAACAAAGAGTTCAAATACCTATAATACAATATTTATTATTTATTTATTCTATTTGTAAGAAGAAACATGAGGAAAAAGAAGAAGAAACACAAAAGTTACAGAACTAATAGGGAAAGGGGAAATATGAATAGAAAATAGAAAAACAAAAAACGAATTGGGAAAGGGCACGGACGGGCACAATGTTTTTCACATAAGAAACGGAAGTTTCCATCCAACGGAAATACGAAAAAATCGTAGCGGAAGATTCCGGAGTGCATGGTTGGACGAAAAAAAATTGTGGCAAAAAATTTGCCTCTTTAATATTAGGTATAAAAATACACTCATCGCATCGTTCTCTCTCTCCTCCATTAAATAATGCAACCATTTCATCACCCCCTATCCTCCATTAAACGCCTCCACTATACTCCTATTTGAAATAAGTTATCTTTTATTTTCGAACTTTATTACATTAGGCTTTCCTAAAATCCAAATATTTCAAGGCAATTTTTTTGTAATATTGAATTTCATGTGTTCAGACATGTTAGGTTTTCATAAAATTCAAAATATTTCAACACTATTTTCTAAAGATTAGCTCCTTTCATTCAAATATTTAAACAACTTTTATAATCAAAATACATAGTATGCCATACAATAATACCATCAAATACAATGATATTCAAACTTGGTTGAGGATGCTTAACAAGACAGAACATGCATTACAAGAAACCAAGGCAAGTATAATATTCTTCCGAGGATGATGAAAGAGCACTCGTCATAAGTTCTTGCAACTCAAAGTATTCACAAACTGTAGAGGTTTAGTTAACGGTGGATTTTTATTATTTAGCAATCAGCTAAATGTAAAAGGGACCAATAACTTAACACACACCCACACATTTCTAGAAATTAATCAAGGATCCTAAAATTTGCCCATTTGTTCCTTTCATTTCAAACTATGCCCCGTAAGATAGAGCATGATTTTAGAAAAAAAATCTAAAGCCAGTTTCATATTTTTTCGAGGTATAACAATATTTATATGATTTTTTCAAATATTAAACCTAATTTTAACATTTTTTATTTCATTATTTTTCTATATAAAATATTTGGATAAATTTTTGAAAAAATATTTCTTATGATTTTTTTTGGATTTTTAACAAATATATCTAGTCCGATTTATCTCCCTAAACTCTCAACTTAGTCTGGTTTACCTCCCCTGACGTGGAGCCACATCAGTAAAATTATCATCAAAACCACTCAAGATGCAAAAACAAACGGTTTGAAAAGTTGTGAAAGGTCAGTTGTTTTATAGTCCAGACTTCAGAGATAGTTAAGGGACATTGAACCTTTTCCAAAAATATAAAACTCGTGGCGATGCAGGGCTTGAAACCAAACCTAACTGTCGATTGTCCCAGGCCCAGAAGGAGGGTGGCGAGCCCGCGACAGGAAGCCTCGAGCCTGCGACAGGAAGCCTCTGGATAGGAGGTCCAGGCCTATTTGCTTTAGGTCCACTCAATGCCTGGCGTCGGGGCTGCTCGCGGCATCCGGACGCTTTGGATGGGATGCATCTTTGAGCAAACAGGCGACAGGCCCGTGCCACGGGTCAGATAAGCTTCTCTCTCCCCTCTCCGCTCCCGGGCCACCACACAACCGCTCGCCGCGTGCTCCCCTCCGCATCCTCCCCCGCGCCGACCTGCTCCGGCGACTTAGGCATGGCCGTCCTCCTCCGCGGCACCTCCGCCGCCGCCACGGCCGCTGGCCCCTCCTCAGCGCTGCTCGCCACCACCTTCCGCCGCTCCCGCGGCCGCCTTCTGCCCCGTGCTGCGCCGCAGCGCCGCTTGTATGTGGCCCGCGCCTCGGCCCAGCCGCTCGAGGTCTGCGCTAAGGAGTCCATCACCGTCCCTGGCCGCCTCGGAGACTGTAAGCTCTCTCTCTCGCGCGCGCTGGGTAAATGTAGTCTATAGAATAGAATGCAAGGTGAACTGACAACAATGCTGGTTGAGTTGGTAGCTATTTGGGTTAGGGGAGGTTTTAATTTGCTGCGTTTAGAGTGCAACTTCAAATGATAGCTTTGTTTCACATTTAGAGTGATGGTTTATTGGTATTTGATTTTCGTGTTCATATCATGACCCGTATGCGGTTTATGAAGACACGGAAAAAAAAAGGGCGTAGCGGGAGGTCTGGGGAAGGGTGTCAGTGGCAAACCTTACCCTCGCCTGTGCAATGCGAGGAGACTGCGACTCGAACCCAGGACCTTCCGGTCAAGACTCTACACGCAGAGAGAGAGAGAGAGAGAGAGAGAGAGAGATTGCATGGAATGCGTGGTGGTAGGTTTTAGCTAAACAGTAGCATTTGACTTGTCTGCGATGTGGATGCAGTTATTTCAGCACATAGTTGGGTCCTGCAGTCTGCACCAAGCCAATTTTTTGGTAAATACCATCTTCATGACAATATAAAGTGAATGTTCTCTGAATCATTTAGCCAACATCAATGCATGGAAAATCCAAACGTGCTTGGTCCCGCAGTCTGCACCAAGCCAATTTTTTTGGTAAATAGCGTTTGATTTAGTGCACATGTTTCAGTCATCATCTTCATGGCAATATAAACAGTGTATGTTCTCTGAATCATTTAGCTAACAGCAATCCAAAGGTGCACTTCTATGATGAGTTTATATTTGGAAAAAAAAATTCCAGTGCTTGGTGAAGGTTGGGTTATGCCCCCAACTTGTTTGGGACTTAAAGGCTTTGTTGTTGTTGTTGTTGCTTGGTGAAGGTTGGGTTATTTTCATTGTTTTGGTGAAGTTTGATACTCCATCCGTTCCAAATTATAAGTCATTCCAACTTTCTTGGAGAGTCAAAACATCTTAAATTTGACCAAAATTATAGAGAGAATTACAAATATTTATAACATCAAATAGGTATATTATGAAAATATAATTAATGAAGAATCTAATGATACTTAGTTGGTATCATAAATGTTATTATTTTTTATAAATTTGGTCAAACTTTAGATGCTTTGACTCTCCAAGAAAGTTGGAATGACTTATAATTTGGGATGGAGGGAGTACTAATGTAGTATAGTATATTAAGATATGAACATGTTGAGGTTGTCTTTGGAGTGAAATTTCTTGCTTAATTAAAATGCTGTCTCCTGCCCTACACCTCTTTTAAGCTTTACTAGGGACTATAGAATGTGTTAATGCCTTAATGACAAAAAGGTTCTGGACTCTGGATATGATGCATTCCTGGGTTTCTGTATGCTTAATCTATATTGGTAGCCCTTGTTGTCAATTTGTGCCATGTGGAAGGGCTGATAGAATGTAAGAATAAAAGAGCTCATTTTGTATAGAAAATTGTCCTGGGAGTATTATCTTCCACAGAACAACTGTTTCTGTGATAGAAATAGAATAGCAGCATTCAGAAACAAACTAGAGTAGATTTATCTTTTTCTAATCTATGTTTGCTCATTAATAGCAAAACTTGCTCTGCAATCTCTGCAATCTGGTACATGCTTAGCTCAACTGCTCAAGTTGGGAAACTACTGCCAGCATAATTCACAGTATAACATTAGGCATCAGCAGTTTATCTTATTAATAGTGAGTTTATTAATACGAGTAGATATTAACGTTTACCTGAACACTGTCTCACTTAGATAGCCTGGGTTCGAGACACATCTCCTTTAAAACAGAGACGAAGAGGGGTGGCGTGGGGAGTTTTCAAAGTAGACATTTGAAAGATTAATATTGGCATCTGTTTGGTACTGTGGGGCTACATTGATATTACCAGAATGGAAGTGTGTGTGAATCCTGTTTCCTTTATATTAGAATGTAACAGCGCAGTTTAAGGTTTTTAATTGCATTGCAAGTTTTTTTTCTCTGATTATTGAAAATTGAAGAAGGGCGGGCCTGGTGCAAGCGGTAGAGTCTTACCGCCTGTGACCGGAAGGTCCCGGGTTCGAGTCGCGGTCTTCTCGCATTGCACAGGCGAGGATAAGGCTTGCCACTGACACCCTTCCCCCGACCCCGCACAGAGCGGGAGCTCTCTGCACTGGGTACGCCCTATTGAAAATTGAAATACTTGACAGTCTAAGTTAAATTTCACATGTTGGCCACAGGTCCTTTCACACAGAGGGTTTTGTTGACTATAGAGGAGAAGCATCTGCCTTATGAACTGAAGCTAGTTGATCTAGCTAATAAGCCGGATTGGTACCTATCTTCAAGACAAGGCTAACCTTTCTGAATTCAGATTATTACTGGCTGTTTCTCTGCTTGATAGTTCCATGGCCATGAGCCCATGAACCATCATGCTTTTGTCTTGCTCCATTAGGTTATTTGAAATCAACCCAGAAGGTAAAGTGCCTATCGTGAAGCTTGACGAAAAATGGATTGGTGATTCTGATGTTATAACACAAACATTAGAGGAGAAGTACCCTGAACCACTCTTGGCAACTCCACCAGAAAAAGCTTCAGTGTATGTGATATTTCCTGTGCCCTAATTGATAATTCCTGTTTTGCACTTTTGTAAGGGTGTCCAGCACTCTTGTTGCAAATGTTGAGTCATCCACACATATTTTGTGCTCATTTCTCTCTCATTATCTGTTTCATTTTCGTGCTGAGCATTTATGCATGATGAACTGGTCTGAGCATTTAAACTTTGGGTGTGTTTGTATTATTTGTGTACTGATGCCTCTTTTATGAAGAGGACTGAAGCTGGAACTAATCCATTATCTAAAAAAAGCATACAAACTATTATGTTTTCCTTTCCATATCCCCTTAACAGAATATGTTAGTCATTCATTGTGGTTGTTCAAAAATATGCCTTATCATTAACAGAGTTGGTGTCTACGACACTAAATTAGTGACTTTATTGGTACATCCTACATGGAAATATTGTTTGATTTGTATCTTGAGGCCATATGCAACTTTACCCTGTTATTTTCTTTTGTTAATACTCACAGTTCTATTATTATGAGCGTCATAGTTATTGTGCATAAATTTCATTACAGTGGGTCAAAAATATTTTCCACTTTCATTGGTTTCCTCAAAAGCAAAGATCCAAGCGATGGAACAGAAGAGGCACTATTTAATGAGCTTACTTCATTTGATAGTTATCTAAAAGACAATGTAAGTGGGCTGGTAGCAATTGTAATGCTACATGAATGGTTCATAATAGTACAATTGTTTTGCATGAGCTGCAATATTTCTATAATTTCTGCAGCCCCCTTCTACTTGTCATATCTACATACTTGTTTAGATTTCTATGCATTGTTGCATGGATTATACCATGTTTGATGTCAGACATAAAGAATCTGCAAATTTCTCTAGAATCCATCAGCTGGTGCACATTTGACAGATGTATCCAAAATTTCCATATATTTAAATGATTCGGATCCGTTGATATGTATATGTAAATTGAACTAGATGCTATTGTTTGTTTCCTGTCTCATTTTTCCTATGAGACAGACTCGTGTTTATGACCTATAACACTAGCCTTGCTTCATGTTCTGCTAAGTCACATGCTACAATAATATGAAGCTACATTTATGACCTATGACGCTCACATAACATAACAACATAACTACATTTATGACCTTTGACGCTAATGTTGCAAAATATTAATAGATTTTTGTGCTTCTACTTGTGGAATCATCACAACTGGTGTGTGTTTGATGGTTTGTCTCCAAACGTAGCTAGAGCTTTATTGCTCACTGGTGAGGAGTTGCAGTATTGGGGTTTGACTGGGGCTAAAGGCATTGCTTACCTCTTAGCCCTTGTGCCAAGCATGAGTTGAGTTTAGGTGGAGGTTGTTTTATAATTTGTAAAAGATGCTAATGTTTGCTTAGTCCCCTGGACAGTGTGGGTGCGTGTGTGTTTGTAAGGGCTCTTCCCCCTTTTTTATGTTCTTGATATTCTTTTGTAGAATCCGCAGGAGAGCTGCATATCATTGCATTAGGGAGATAAATAAATAAATTACAACACACACACCATGCTCACACACTCTTATATACTCATACAGGAAACAAACTTGCCTTTTACATCAACCCACAACTTGACCCAACAAAACGACCATCTTATTATCTATTAGCGACCTCTAGGTGAGCGAGGCTTCTAGCGCCGGCAAGGCCCCATAGGTGTGCCTCTTCAACGATTTCTTCTTAATATAATGATATGCAGTTCTGTTGCGATGGATTTGTGGTCACACAAGAATGGACCGAGTTAGGAACGATGATATACGTGACCGCCTAGGGGTAGCACCAATTGAAGAAAAGCTTGTCCAACATCGGTTGAGGTGGTTTGGCCATGTCAAAGGAGACCTTCAGAGGCACCAATGCATTGTGGAGTCCTAAGCCAAGCTAATAATGTGATGAGAGGTAGAGGTAGACCGAAATTGACATGGGGGGAGGCAATAAAAAGAGATTTGAAAGCTTGGGATATACCTAGAGATCTATGTTTGAATAGGAGTGCTTAGAAAGCAGCTATTGATGTGCCTAAACCGTGACTAAGGGGCTCTTGGTGGGTTTCAACTCTAGCCTACCCCAACTTGCTTGGGACTAACAGGCTTTGTTGTTGTTGTTGTATAATGATATGCAGTTCTCCTACGCGTTCGAGAAAAAAGTGCTTTTACAGTGGTTTTTACGTGATGTATATGTGAAAATGGAGAAATTAAGCTACATGACACTGCCACATGTTTGCGTCATTGCATGTCAGAATTCAGAACAAACTTACATGGTCCTGATTTACCTCTACATGGTTTAGAATTATTGGTCATCTAAAATGTAGTTTTACCCTACAATGATTCCAAAAGTTGCCTTTTGCTCATATCAAACTACTTAGTTTTAATAAACCAAATGCCCATATGGAAAATTTAAACTTTCAAGATCCTTGGTTTGTTTAATATAACATCAGCACTTCTCAAATACAGAATATGGCGATTTATCATTTGCTTTCCATCAGCAATCAGAAATGGAAACCTTGAGTTCTGTTCAAAGTTATACAAACTTGATTCAAGTTATATATCAGCTAAGATGAATTAGTTATATGATATCTTAAATCACATTCAGTCCATATGAAAGATGATGTTAACTTCACATGAACCTTTGTAGTTATATGATATCTTAAATTATATTTGGTAACTTAGTATTCGTTTCTGTGTGGCTTATCTGAAATTTGCTGTGTAATCCTGGGACACTGTGTGGTGCAGGGTCCATTTATTAATGGCGGAACAATTTCTGCCGCTGATCTCTCTCTGGGCCCTAAACTATATCACATGGAGATAGCTCTGGGCCACTATAAGAATTGGTCTGTTCCAGATTCACTTTCTCATGTAAAAACATACATGAAGGTACGTATCCATGTACTGCACAATGATTTTTGTGCTTATCTTTTTGGTAATTAGTATTCAATTTGTCTTTAGGTCTGACATGTAACTGAACGAGAGTACGATGTTATTTCTTTCGCCTAGCAGGCATCCACATCTGGCCATAAAAAAAATGAACATGGAACTACGGTAGCTATTAATAGTGCCATGAATTTCTTTTTCACTTTCTTTCCACCTGAACAGCAGATACCAATGCTTGACCAGTTGCACAGCATATGCATGCTGTGTACTGCTCATGTTTTATGAACTACACATTTAAGCAAAATTATTATTAAAGAACATAGTTGAGCCACAAAAGAAATAGTGCTTTGGGGGAGATTAGGGAATATATCAGAAAGGATCACTCATGAACCCAAATCCATGTTGACTCAATACTTGGTTATCCCAATTCTTTACTAGCAGTGAATTGGCTATTCTTACATTGTATGCGTAATGCAAAACACGCCATTGAGAAATCACCATGCATTCTTTCCAAAGTATTAGCTAGGCATGAGAGGATTGTACCTTTTGATGCTAGCTTTTGTTTCTTTGACATCTTTCTAAGGAGTTGGTCTTGGATATCCTAGCCTTACTTGATCATGTTCTTTCACAGTCGATTTTCTCAATGGATTCTTTTGTCAAAACTCAAGCTCTGCCTGAGGATGTAATTGCTGGATGGCGCCCAAAAGTCATGGGTTAAATTCATTTCTAAAGTAAGGTAAACTGCATATATCCCTTAATAGAAGGAAGAAATATTGCATGCTTAGATTTCCTTGGTTTGCTATTTTGTGTCTATGGGAATAATGATGACAGGATGCACACGTCATAATTATCTAGAGAACTGGAAACATGGGGGCTTTCTTAAGCTTGTTGTTGGCTAATAAGATGCAAAAATATATTTATGTGTGTATTTCCAATGTATGTATAATACATTTATAAAGATTAAAGAGGTCAAGAATAAATAATGTAGTGAGTCAAAGCGAGCCATTGTGAGGAATTCTGCTATTTGCTTATAATACATGGGAAGATCAATATCCATTGCTGATAGTTAAGAGGACACCAATAGTAGTTCACTTAAATGATGGGCTAATGATTGTGTAGTGGCTTCTTTGGCCTTCAGTTTCTGAATTATGTGAGGCTAGAAGCTACTTGCACTTTGCAACTGTTGCAGTGATGCTGAGCAACCAACATCTCACACTTTATACCCTTCTCTCTTTGTGAATTAGTTTATGCGCTCTGCTTATTCATATATGTAAAAGCAAGTAGAACTGTAGAAGATAATAAAATTAAGTTGTAAGCTTTTATAGCACTGGATGTAATATTATGACAGCCAGACCTTCATATTTAGTTGTTAAAGTAAGGTTCGGTTGTGCGCAATCACGTTTGCATATAGCAGGGGCGGATGTAGTATAGGTGCATGGGGGTACAGGTACAAACACAACAGGCTCCACTTGATCAATTTATTAAGGATAACAAAGAAGCAAGAAACTAATATGCTTACGGAGACATTGGCATTGACTACCTTTGTATACTTGCGGATAAATGTTTGTGAATTGTATCCTTATATCCGCACACCTAACTATTTAATGTCATTCAGTCGTCATATTACATTGTTAGCGAATTGCATTGTTTAGGTCCATGCCGGCATGCCCCCATGATTGAAATCATGTATCTGCCACTGGGCCACTGGCATATGGCCATAATCATAGGTGTTTCCATTTTCCTATATCAGCTACCACAGTACTTATTCTGTATCCTTCTCGATGGATCCCACTAGTTGGCACTCCATCTGAGCTGGTAGTGAATGTCTGTTGGAAAGTGAGAATCTACCATTCTGCTTATGGACCCCACCAGTTAACATATCTTTGCAATAGAGATATGTTCTGTCAATCTTTGCTTAAATCAGTTTCACAAGATGTGCAACGATTTGGCTTATCATGTGATGTTATGTTTCCTTTTCTTATTATTAGGAGAGGGGGAGAGGTGACGATTGGTGAATGGAGGATCTAGATGCAAAGGTTTGTCGCATGTCTGTAATATGTACATGAAAGGTGGTGGGTTTTGATTGGAATTTTCTAGGGCATAGCATATCAGGTATTCCTATCCAATCTTTGTGTGTCAAATGGAAAACATGGCCCTGTTCGCTTCTCTTATAATCCGTCTTTTTTAGCTTGTTTTTTCAGCCGGAACAGTGTTTTTCTCTCCCAACAAATCAGCCGGAACAGTGTTTTGTTTTTTCAGCGAAGCGAACGGGGCCTTTGTAAAAAAAAAAGCAGATCTTTTTTTTATGTAAATGAGCATTCTCGTGGAGCTTGAACCTCATTTGTTGTTAAGGGGGAGGGGTGGGTCTATTGCGTATTCCTACCTGTTTTCTGCATCATAGAAGCATTAATTTCACAAATAACATACAAATACCGTTGATCTATGGTTCTGAGCTACCTTTTGGTGAATTGACGAAAGATATCCATTTCATTGTATAGTTATTTTTGTTCCTTGTGATTTAAGGATGCATGCATTTGCAGACACCGAATGTTAGAGCCAAGGTTATAATCATTTGGCCCATCCTAATCCTAGGTCCCACAAAATTGAGATACCTTTATGCTGATTTGAAGCTACTAACCTCCAAACATATTTATCCAAGCGTTTGCATTTGATGAAATGTCACCGTGCATGATGCTGACCTGCCTCATCATAAGCTGCTGCTTCTCTTGGTCATGTTCCTGTAACACATTCACATTGAACCTGCAATGATTGATAAGATTTTTGCATTCGCGCTCCGAAATGATTGAGGCGTGGAATTCCAATTATCTCGTTTATGCCAGTGGTAGGTGATGTGCGTTTTGTCGCAAGATTCTGAAAGCACAATAGTTGCAGAGGTTTGCTATGTGGATTGTCGTCATATCTCTGTGATCTGACTAATACTTTTCTTATAGCTGACATTTACACACACTGAGTTGACGTCAAAGGAACTCACTACGTTCCATGTAGGCTCTGTTCGGCTGCTCGTAAAACCGTTTGTGCTGATTTATTGGGAGAGAAAAACACTATACCATGACTTATAAGCCGGCTTATAATGACAGCCGAACACTCCCTAAGCAGTTCCGTCTTCTTTCAACTCTGGCCTTCCAATCGCTCGACCAATTGTCGTCATATCTCGGAGGGATGTTGCTGACTTGCTGTGTTCTTTTTCTTTGTTATTAGATAGACATGCATCAGTCGTCACTGGTCAGTTGTCACAATTATGTTTTGCAATGATACTAGCGAAACTGCGATAGTGGCTCCTCTGGGATGATAGTGCGTCTCCACTAGCCGCTTCGCATTTCTGAGTGATACGAAGCACAGTTTCCGTCAGTTCAGCTGCATACCCTCTTCAGTTCACAGTTTTTTTTTTAAGTTTCTTTAGTTGCACAATTGGGTCCGTTAGCTTCTGCTAACCGTTTGCAGCGGCTGCAGCTGCACTTGTTGCCGCTACAGTAACACGCAGTTTTTAATTTGCAGCTGCTGCAGCACGCTGTATCTTCCCACCCTTTTGTGGATACACAACGCAAACTCGCTTTTGATCTGCTGGTTCAGCCTATATGACTGGCAGCATATATATATGCGTCCAGGCAATTTATCGAAGGGAGTAAAAATCAGTCGACACGCTCCCGTCGTATACAAAACTGACAACCACCAGAGCACCGGATTTCGAGTTGCCGAACTATTCGGCCACGCTTGCTTGTGTTGATGAGAGTCACTCATCAATCGCTGCACATACAGGAACAATTGAACGCACTGTGTCCCTTCGGGTGGAAAAAAAACAGTGTCCCTGGAACTCCTAGTCTCCTAGGCTAGGCAGCGGTGGTTTCTGGGATCGCCGGGCATCTCGGCTTTTGTCCCGATCGCTTTGGTGACCGGCCACGGCTAAAAGTACTGTTGACTATTATTTATTGACTAAAAAATATGGCTTATAAGCCACGTAAACTGGACGTTTCTTCTAGCAGTAGTTATCGAGTGCAGGTGGAGAAATTGCGTCCCCATACGTTTCACGTTATGCGACTGATTGTTTTTTTTTATCTCAATTGTGCGACTGATTGTTGACGCTGTCGATTGACTGGACAGTGGACACACTTCCTGTGCTCCCGATATCAGTATCCGCCGCAGATATCACGTCGAATTCTGTGGGTTGTCACGTCATATTTTTGCGGGTTCTCATGAAATTCCCAGTGCCGGAAAGACAGTAATGTGATATTGTGACTATCCGGCGTGCAAGTACGTACGCATCTCACCTGATCTTTCATCTGGAAGAGGACTGACTGAGCCGGGCATCTGTGTCGCCGTCCGTCCCCCGTTCTTGCTCACTCCATGGCTCCCCCACCTCGCCTCTCTGAGCTCTCTCTCGTCTCATGCGGTGACGACGCCGCGGATCGAGGCGAGGTGCCGCAGCAGTGTAGCACCTTGCGTGACGGTACCGTACGCCTGGACATTGAACAAGGAGCTCGGGACTCGCTTTCATGGTGACCGAGCTGCATGGAAGCTTGCCTTGTCGACGGCGACGCGCGCGCCACGGACGTCGGATGCATGCGTCCATTTCCAGAAAAGCTCTGGTGGTCCTGCCGATACGCTTTTCCGGCTGCTGTCACGCTTGTTGGACGTTGCTTGCTGGCGACCAGGACATCGGTGTTAGGATGCTGTGGTGTGTACCTTTCTGTGACCGTAGGATCAGGTAAGCATCCTCATCTTTCCTATTGACCCACCTAAGTGGGTAGACACCGATGCCGTCGGTGTAGTAGGAGTCGTCCAGCGCGGTGGAGAGAAGTCCAGTGGCGCCGGCGGAGAACCTGCAGGGGCGACGGCGGTGGTGGGGCACATCCCGGCGCTTCCAGCACTACTTTAGATCGGTTTTAGGGTTTCTCTGTTGAGTGGGTGGCGACTCCGATGAACCTCATAGTCCGAGCCCTCACCCTCACCTTTCTTTTATGTGTGCTGTGTGACAGGGGCCCACCAACCAGATTAGGGTTGGGCTCCCCCAATCAGGGAGCAGAGATAAGGGCCTAATAGGCCGTTGGGCCTATTGGTGGAGATCAATTAACATTCTCCCCCTTGATCTCATTCCATCTTTCACTTTCATATCATTTACTTTTGTTCATTCCATTACAGATTAGCTCATAGAGCATGTCTCATCGTCACGGTCCATTGCCGATAGACTTAACAGCTACAACTCACTACTCTGTTCTGAAATAGATACTTATCTTTGGGCCTTCTTTTGTCCAGGAATATTTTAGGCTTTCCTTAAACCCAAGCTAGGTTCTCTGAACACCATGTTCTCTGAACATGTTGGGTGATAAACCTTTTGTAAGCGGATCCGCGAGCATCATTTCTGTTCTTATATGCTCAAAACTTATGACTTGATCCCGGACTTTATCTTTCACAACATAATACTCTATGTCAATGTGTTTGGCAGTACCACTTGACTTATGTTGTGAGCATACTGTACTGCCATATTATAATTGCAGTATTACTTTAAGTGGTCTATAGATGTCGTCAACCACCTTCAAACCGGGTATGAACTTCGTTAGTTAGTTCACCTGCCCGTTGCCTCATAACACGCTACAAACTGTCATACATTGTGGACGATGTAGTGACAATTTGCTTTGAGCTTTTCCATGAAATAGCTCCCCTTTGTGAGATGATAGAAAATCCACGTCTGGATATGCATTC